TGAGGTCATGATCTCAGGGTCCTGGGATCGAGTCCCGCATCGGGCTCTCTGCTCAGTGGGGAGCCTGCTTCCCTCTCTCTCTCTCTGCCTGCCTCTCTGTCTACTTGTGATCTCTGTCTGTCAAATAAATAAATAAAAAATCTTAAAAAAAAAAGAAAAGAAAGAAGAAAAAGACAAAGGGAGGAAATAATGTGAAAACAAAAACCAGAAAAACAAATTAGAACACTTATAAAGAGTGAAAAATATTAAAAGTTACTGTTTCATTTGGCTAAATAAGTAATGAAATAAGGCTTTGGTCAATCTAGTAAATAACAAAATGGTTATATACACACACATGCATGCACACACATATATACACCTGTATGCACAAATACAGACACACAGGTGCACACATATGTACAGCTAACATAGATTATTCGTTATGTCCTTGGCACTATGCAGACTGCTTTATGTGCATTATCTCATTTACCCTCACAACGACCCTCTGAGACAGCACAGTGGGTTGAATAGTGTCCCCCCAACATCCTCGTTCACTGGGAACCTCAGAACGTGACTGTATGCGGAAATGAGGTCTTGGCAATGTAATTAGGGTAAGAAGCAATCAAGGTAAGATCATGCTGGGTTAGGGCGGGCTCCAAATCCAATGGGAGTCCTTAGAAGAGACAGAGAAGGACACAGAGAGACACTGAGAAGACATGTGGAAGAAGAATGGCCCAGAGACTGGAGTCATGGTGCCACATGCCAGGATCAGGAGTCCCCAAGAGCTAGGGGCAAGGAAGGGTTTCCCCTACAGCCTTGGAAGGAGCTTGGTCATGCTGATGCCCTGATGCTGATGCCCTGACTTGTGGCCTCAGAACCGTGGGAGATTAAATTTCGGTTGTTTGAAGTCACCCAGTTTGGGGTAGTTTGTGCAGCGGCCCCAGGAAAGTAACACGGACAGGTACTTTGACCCTTCTCACCTTCCAGAGGAACAGACGGAGGACCAAGAGGCGATGTTTCACATTCCCCAGCTGCATTCATTTTAGTTCTTAAACACAAAAACATTCATTCTCCTCCCTTAAAGTCTAATTGATGTAACTGGTTTATAGGAATTGAAAATCTGTAGCCCTTAAACATTTGTTTTTCCCTTAGAGATTTTAACGTCTCTCATCCAATTCCCAGATGTGAGTCAGTTCACAGACCTAAATGTCTAGGAGTGAACGGAGGCCAGGTCATCTGGGACGACACTGACAGAACACCACACCTGAGAGTCTGGGCCATGATCTTCACTTCCTCCCCAAAAGCTGTGGCGATTTACCCATGGAAAGCCTAGAACACTTCCAGTGACTCTTCAACATGGACTCTGAGCAGTTGTGATTCTAGAGGATGCTGCGTTCTGTTGTGGCTGGGTGCGTGGAGCAGAGGCTTGGAAAGCCCAGGCGAGAGAGACACATGCAATCTTCCCCAGCTTCAGGTGACTGGCTCTCCAAACCCATCTGGTGGTTCTTCTTATGGTGCCTACCAGTTTAGCTGGAAATACACCCTCAGCAAGTGGCCGACGCTCCACTTGCCTCTCTGGCCTGTGGAGTTGACATTGTTAGGGGATCTAGGAAATGGAAGCCACTGGGACTCTTTGAACAAAAACAGTAAACCGAAAGCCATGCTTTCTTTGGGGAAATTTTGAGACTGGTTTAAAAGCACCAGGAAAGGCTGTGGGTGGGGGCCTCCCCCAGAACCCATGAGCTCCGTGCATCCAGGGTGAACTCCACACTAGAATCAGAGCTGCTGCTGGGGGCGGTGGCGGAGGCATCCCTCCGAGGGCTGCTGCACGCGGACAGCTGGGGACTCACAAAGGGTCCTGGGAGATGTGGGGAGAGCAGGGAGCTGGGATCACACGGAGACTCTCTTTACAAAGCTACTGGGATCTGCTTTTGTGACCTCTTGGATAAGTTCTCTTTTCCTTTAATAGAAAGCCTCCTTCAAATTATGACAAAAACCACGGGAGTCATTTATTTTTGATGTTTATTTCACAGACAAGTTTTCAAGTGGACATCTAAGTGAACGTGAGTACGAGACAATGAAGAGACATACATTTATACGTGGAATGCACTCAGAGGCCAAAGCTAACAGCTGCACAAGCTGCTCACACACGCCCTGCATTTGGGGCTTCCCCAGCTCCTTCCTAGCGGAGTCTCGTCTGTCACTGGGCACCGGATCTCGCATATGGGTTTTCTTCCCTCCGGCTGCTTGCCATCGGCTACCAAGGAGCTCCAGGGGCTGCCTGCGGGTGAACAGGAGTGATGTGTCCTTTCTCCTCACTGTGCAAGCTCCTGGGCTGCTCACGGCCTCCCTCTTCCTAAAGTATGAAGTGGGCTCAGTATGGCCTGGATGCCGCCTGCGACGGCGGACCAGGCTGGCTACCTGGTCTTACAACCTGCAGCCTCACTAAACATTAGAGCCAGCGCAGTCTTGGCGATCAAGTTCAGCATCTCTCCAGACAAGGAACACCGGCCCAGAGAGGCTGAGGTTTGTCAAACAATGCTCAGGAAGTGAGAGCGACGAGACTGAAATGCGTCCTTTTCGGTTTCTGGTCTAATGCTCACTCCCCTACCGCAGGCTGCCCGGAGCGGTTTAAATATATGTGTGAAGTTTCCTTCTTTAAAGATTTATGGACAAGTAAGGTTGTATGTGTAATAAAATCACGGGTAGGAACTGGAGGTATTTGTGGGGGTAACAAAGCGAGTGCAGGCAAGGGATACAAGCCGGTCTCCAAATGCCTTGGATAAGATGTCAGAGAATAAAATGTCCAGTTGTTCATACTGCTTTTAAAAAATAGGATTTGGGGTAATTTTCAAAGAAATCCGATGGGATTAAACAAACAGGTTTTAGGTAGTTGGTTGAGGTGGCTTGTATGTTTTCTTGAGCTTTCCAGCAACCAGAACAGAGAAAAAAGCAGTAAGTTATAAAAATCACAGTGTTTGTAAATCCGTTTTTTTTTGTTTGTTTGTTTTTTTGTTTTTTTTTCCTGTTTAGGGTCAGAGCTTTCCCTGGTACCGAGACCCAGAAAAAAAAAAACCAAAACCTTTTCCTATGGATCTTCATAAAGGCAATGCTATGTGATATATAAGATACATTATTCATTTTGACTTTCATGCTCCAGTTGAGAAAAGACAAGATGCAAGTCGTCTTAGTCTAAGCTGGTGGGCAGGACCTTCTATTTCTTCGGCACAGAGACAGAGTTCGTGAAGGCCACTTAACCCACGTCTAGAAACATCAGCAGGGGGACTTGGGTTCTACCTCTGTGCAGCCCCAGACAAATGAAGCTCACACAGACTCGGTCTGCCCCACTTGAGATGGAATGGGTCCTGCACTGTTCCTGCCATTAGGGACACTGGGGACGCAGAGGTATACAATTCAAGGCAATTCAGAAAAATGCTTTTGCAGGTGATAGTGATTTTCTCACAGTGGAGTCACCGACATTTTGCAAGTGGCACGAAGGTAATTGGCACTAATTACCTTTGCTGCAATGCCTCCTCTGTCGTACTGCCAGGTCCTTGAGCACGGGCACCATGTCTCTATGTTCGCATCCCCTTACTGTGCCTGGAACACGGCCTTACACGGAACAGTACTTAATACTTAGGAATAAATCATCTACTTTCCTGAATCATGCTTCCATATAATTATCAATCCTGTGTATGTATTACTAC